AGAGAGGTCAAGTGAATTGTTCAAAATCAAGGGGCTGGAAAAAGGCAGAGCCAAGACTCAAATTCAGATGTGCTAGAGTCCACCTCCCACACCGTAATTACAGTACTTTGCTGTGCTCTTCCAGAGAGGAAAGGCTCTGAAATGGCAAACATCAGGTCAATAAAAGCCAGAGAAAGGAACTCTTCCTTAGCCTTCAAAGCCCTGGCTCAGTGTCTTTCAAAGCTTGTTGCCTGGGCCACCTGCATCAGAACATTCTTAGGAGCTTAAAAGGATGTAGATTCCTGGAACCCCCACTCCCCGAAGATTCTAATTCAGAAGGTCTGAGATGGGACCTTGGATTATTTTTACAAACCCACAAGATTTTTGAGTCACAAAGCTGGCTCCTACAGCACCTCCTCCAAAATCCCAGCCCTCACCCCCACCCCCACTCCAGAGCACCTCTCTTCTTCAGACTACAGCAGTGCACTCTGGCATGTGCTAACGTTCAACTGAGGTTTCAGTTATTTTCATATCTTTCCTATACCAAAAATAATATCTAGCTCCTTTACAGGGCTACATCTACTTGCAAAGCCCTTCCAGTGTCCCACTTAATCCCTCTCTACACCGTGAGCATTCTGAGAGGGGCCCCTTCTTGTGATTCCTGCCTCTTACCTGAACACACTTAGCATTTTTTACAATGTGTTCTCCCGTCCACAGTAATATTCTTATATTGTTTCATCCAATCCTCACAACAATCTAGAAGGAGGCATATTATCCCCATTGTACAGATGAGAAAAGAAACTCAAGAGTTTCACTTGCCCCAAGTGGCCAAGATAGGAAGTGGCCGGACTAAGATTTGAACCTAAGAACCTCCATATCACCTTATGTCTCCATTACCCAGTGTAGGGAAGTAAACTTAGGCAACCTCCTCTTGCTGTTACAGAATAGTGGGGAATGAGATAAATGAGATAATGCCGTAAAGAGCCTGGCTCTGAGACGCCTCAATAAATGGTGGAAGGAAGGAGAAACTGAGGCCAGGGGAAAGTAAATGACTTTCCCCAAATCAAACAACAAACTACCGGCTGTAGAGTGCAGAATAGAATAGCTTTAGAATAGAACTGTACTCTCCTTGCTGGGAGGCCTAGGAAGCTCTGCACGTCCCTTAAGGTCTCTCCACCGCCTCAACCCAGCCCCCCACGCTGTCTCCCCAGGCGCCACCGCGTGGGCACAGAAGGAAAGAAACGGCCCTTTAAAAGAAGTGAGGGGCGTGGTCCCGCTGCGCGGCGGGGCGGGGCGGGGCACAGGCCTGTGGTCGCGGGAGGATGACGTAGCAGGGCGTCCGGTTCTGTGTTAGCTGTAGGGAGCATGTGGGTCTCCGGCTTGCTGTCCCGGGCGCGAACCCCAGCCAGGCTGCTGCGGGATGTGCTCCCCGCTTCGGGCCGCCGTGGGCCTGCCATCTCCTCCTACTCCGCATCCGCCGAGCCGTCCCGGGTCCGGGCGCTCGTCTATGGGCACCACGGGGATCCACCCAAGGTCGTCGAGTAAGAGACAGCGCCGAAACCGGGAAAGGGGACTAGGGTTCCTGAAGGGGTTTAAGACTGGCCGTGGACTGGGAAGGGAGGGACAGGGTCCAAGGAAGGGGACAGACAATAACAAGACCAAGACTGAAGCCCAAGGCGATTTGGGTAGCTCAGAAAGTCAATGCTCCGAGATAGTTGAAGACTCGAGAGGCACAATTATAAGGGTAATTATGGCTGGCATCCATTGATCATTGTGTCAGGCAATCCCTGTTTTAAATAGATGCTCTCATTTAATTGTCAACAACAATGTTGTGGGGGTAGTTATTTGATTTATTCCCCATTTTGCAGATGAGACAACTGAGGCATAAGAGAGGTAAAATCACTCGCCTGAGGTCACATAGCCAAGTAAGAGACACAATCAGAATTTGAACACACATCTGACTGGTCTGGTTAAGTTATTACCCTCTATTACTTTTTGGAGGAAGTCTTCAAAATACTTTTACATCCGTTTGGATCTTCACTTCTCATTAAACTATGTCATAGATCATTGTTCCCATTTTACAGAGGGCAAAGTACTTGTCCAAAGTGTTATCAGCTAATAAGTAATTGTAGCAGGGACTGGAATCCATGGCTTCTGACTCCTGTCTCTTGTGAGTTCCCTTCCACTGCACAGTATATGCATCTTGGCCTAGTTTAAAAGAGCTGGTTTGGAGCCTTACAGAACTAAGTGTCTGCATTAGGTCAAATATAGGTTTAGGCTCTTAGCTGTTTCATCTTGGACAAGTCACTTAACCTCTCTGAGCCCTTATTACTTTTATGATTAGGTCCTCCTTCTAAAATTCTACTGGATCTCTTAATTCATGGATTTGCATGTGCCTGATAAAAACAGTATGTGAATTGCCTGTCATTATAAATCTTCACATAAATAACCAGCCATTCAACAGGGCTATTTGGGCCGCTGGAGTGGAGCTAAGATGAAAGCACAGGTCTGGGAATCAGAATATTTGGGGTCAAAGCCATGTCCTAACTTGTCCTAGCTGTGTGTGTTTGGCAAGTTACTGAAGCTCTCTGAGCCCTGGTTTTATCATCTTTAAAAATAGAGACAATGCAAACATAGCTTATAATGCTAAGATGAGCTAAGATCGATCTAATGCTCTCTACCAAAACACTTGCGTGATCTCCTGTGGTGCCTTGCTTACAACTGGTGGGTTCCCAGCAGATAGTTTGATTGTTTTCCAAAGGATAGGCAAACATGGAATTATTTTAATGGTTAAAATATAGTCTAGATGTTTGACAAGTGGAGAGACTAAGTCTCAGATAAATTCAAGGCCATGCACCCAGCCTAACTATATTGATGATTAGAGCAATTGAAAAGAATATTGAGAAGACACATCAGTCAATAAACCCCAAATTGTTAAGTTCATCATAGGGAATAAATAACTGAGTAAATCATCATGTCAAGGAAGACATCTCACTAAGGACTATACTATAATGAACTTTATAGTATACTATATACTATATGGTAATGCTCCTATGAGTATTCCTCCATTTCCAGGAATGCACCTCAAATGAGAACAATGTAGTGCCTGTCCCACAGGCTAGTTCAAGCCCTGCCACAAAACTAGTGCTTCCTAAATGTTAGTTAAATCTGAATCTAAGTTCAGTTAAAAAAAAAAATTCCCCTTTTGTTGAGTTCTACTATGGTCATCAGGAAGATATTAATGTCTTAGGTATTCAGAAACCCTGAAGAAGGCCTGGAAAAGTTAGACACCTGAGTGTCATTGCCACCTGAGTGTCATTGCCACCTGAGTGAATCTTTCCTCTTGGAGAGCCAGGGAAGCTGGAATAGACTGGTCTATTTGCCGATGACATTTAGGAAAAAAAAAAACAAACAGCTTTTCTTGTCTCCTTGTTTGGAACCCTAGTAATTTCCCCGAAGTTGAAAACATGATATTTCCGTAAAGCATTCTACTCGACCTTGGCTTTACAACTCAGTAGTGCTTTTAGAAACTACAGTACGTACTCCCAGGCTTTCTCCCTGAGATATTTAGTACATCTGGGATAGCCTGGAGCATCTGGTTTTTAAAGCTTTCCAGGTAGCTCTGCTGTCCAGGCCAGGGTTAAGAGCCATTGCCCTGTAGATGCAGATTGTCGGGCAGGTAGTAATTCTCCCCCTGCCCAGAAGGACAACTTTTCCCTTCTGACCCAGATTCAGGCAGCTTTACTTGTTCACATGTGGACTGAGGCCAGAGACAGGGATTCTCTTTGTAGTCATGTCTTAGGAGGTTTAGGGTAACCACACTGTCACAGAAAGAATCAGGTGTCCTTTACACATCCCAGTGACTGGGTATCTGGGTCAGATTACACCAGGTAGGGTCACTGAACTACCCAGAGTCAGAACAGAGCATTCCCCAAACTGGTATGGTTTGTGATGCTTCCATTGTGGGCCAGAGCTCTGGAAGCAGGAGGGAGGGACTGAGGAACAACCTGCTCAAGTCTGAAAGGTTGCAGAACTCCTGAAAATGAGGCCCCCGGGAATTTGCTGTTTTTATGTCAACATTCTAAATGTCCCTGCTTTTGTTCCTGTTGGCCCCCCAGACATTCTAGCAATTCTTTCCTCTAATTAGCCATTCTTCCCTTTCCCTTAGTTCCTTTCCCTTCCAAAATAGGATCCCCTAAATAAGTATGAGGGCCATTTTCATTTAAAAGATTGAACTGCTGATCTAAATGAAGTAAAACTGTGCAAAAGAATTATAGACATTCAAGTAATTGCAGAATTTGCCATAGCCATTGTCCTTTGTGCAGAATTCTGTATTCTCTATCAGATAGTTCCCAAAACCCAGAAAGTCCCCTCAGATCTTTGCCATTCTCTAGGTCTTACAGCTCTCATTTATTGTATAGTTGGTATGCAGCAAGCATTGGGCTAAGTTCTCTGCATATATTACAGAATTTTAAAATCAAAGTAATCCAGTTTGGTCATTGTTATTCCCATTTTATAAATAAACTGAGGTTCAAGAAGATTGAAAGGCACTTGTCCAAGATCAGTAACTAGTATGTCCCTTCTTTATTAAAAGCCCTTGATGTAGGGCCAAGATTGGTGACTCACGCCTGTAATCCCAGCACTTTGGGAGGCTGAGGCAAGAGGATCACTTGAGGCCAGGAGTTCAAGACCAGCTTGGACAATTTAGCAAGACCTTGTCTCTGTAAAAAATTTAAGAATTCCCAAACATAGGAGTGCTCACATTTGTTCCTAACTACTTGAGAGACCCATTGTTAGAGGTTGTAGTAAGCTATGGTCATGCCACTGCTTTCGAGCCTGGGCAATAGAGCAAGACCCTGTCTCAAAAATATGAATAAGTAAAACTAAGTCTTTAATATAGACATAAGCCTGAAGAAACAATGACATCTCAAATGTTTTGGGGGAATAAGTTGGAGTCGAAAATTGGGGACAAGGTCAGAAAAGAAAGTAAAATGATAGGTCATACAGGCAACCCCAAGTTTCTAATCCATAGAAAGGGCATCCCCATCCTGGGGAAGATAGAAGAAATATTCCCCTGTGCCTCCTCTCCTTTTCAGGATCCTAAGGCTTTAGTAAAACAGCATCCTGATCATCATGACTTTCTCACCTGCCTGCTATAATAGTACAAATGAAACTAAGCCTGAAAACCCACAGACACATACTCATGCCGTCTTTAGACAGATGGAATTCAGGGTAGCAGGTGGTGGGGACCCAGACTGTGTAGGTAGTAGGCTCTCACTGTAGGGCATTGTTTATTCTCAAGAGATTTCTTTTCTTTACAGAATTTTAAAATCAAAATTCTGTGCAGGTGACTACATTTTTAAACCCGACTTAGTGCTTTGGAGAAAAAAATAGCATTTTGGTTTGGTGCTCTGTTGAGAGCGCTTTATTGTGGTCATGAATGAAGGGATTGAGAATCAGAAATTGATTTAGTTAGTTAGCCAGCCTTTATTCTTTTGAGGGCTTGCTAAAGAGCAAGCATTGAGGATACAGAGATGAATAAATTGTCATTGCCCTCAGGGAACTCATAGTCTAGTCCAGGAGATGGGCCACCAAGTCCAGGGGTAAGTGTTATGATAGAACACATTCAGAATGCTATGGATGCCAGAAGAGGGATACCTGACCCCCTGGGGCTGGTCATAAAATGCTTCCTCTGAAGACAGGAGGACTAAGTTGGGTCTCCCAAGAGATCAGTGAGCAGTATGAGGAAGAAAGTGTGTAGAACTGTTGTACCCAGAAGAACGTGCAGGTGCTGAGACCAGGAGAGAAAAAGCATGTTGTGTCTGATGAGTTAATGTGTGCTCACTGGGGAGTCTTGGGAAAGAGGTATCTACTAAAACCAGCTCAGAGTAACTACCCTGTGGATCCAAACCCAAGCAGATTCCGCAACATGTAACTCACACGTTAACTTTCACGTGGATTTCAAAGTAGCCTGTGAAGTTTAGGGCCAGGCCCTCCTACCCAGGTTTCTTCATTCTTGCCTCTGAAGGTGAAATTGGACAGGCACACCTCTAGTGAATTGCACTGTAGCCTAGAGTTTTCCCATGTGGGAGGGGTGCTGCTTCTCCAAGCCTCTCCAAGTTGTTGTTACTGTCTCGCCCCCTCCTAACCGATTCGGCAGCTCTCTGGTCCGGTTGCTGGTTTTTCCCATCCTAGTGAGATGGAAGGGTCCTCATTTTAGAGAAGGAAAAGCAGAGATGACACACAGTTAGAAGTAGCTCTGGATGTTTCATTGGAACCCACCCTCAAGAGCACTGGCCTGGGTTCCATTGCTATCTCTGCCATTGATTATGGCAGTGAGGAAATCCCTGCACTCTATATCTATACTCTCTCCAGGTACTCCTCAAGGAAGAAAAGGGGGTGACCACAGTCAGCAGTGATAGACTTGGCATGTGTGCTGACCCCCTCTTCTGTGCCACTGACAGACCTTCACAGCTCCCTTTTCGGTACACCTCAGAACCTAACCACCTCTTTCCCCCATTCTCCCAAATAGCGCTCCTCC